CACACACACACATACACACAGCAACATTCAAAAGACAAAAGACAAATGCACAGAGTGAGAGTCATGAGTCAGGTCCCTATCAGTTGCCTGCAGGGCCCATGTTAGCTGTCAGGACGCCAGCTGTAATATTAATAATTAAATATTGATGAAGGCTCCACATGTTAAACACTGTAATCACATTATAGTGAGTAGTAGTGGCACATAATATTGATCTGCGTGTGTTCCTGCACAGCTCAGCGACTGCAGTGCTGTGTCTCAGAGAGGCTTTGTTGAGCCTGCTCTTATGGTAGTCTCTTATCTTCAACAGTATAAAACAAACTGTGACTCTAACAATACATATTAGAAAGGTCGGGGGTTTGTTTCATTAATAAAATAAAACAGTACACAGGTTGGTGGTGTGAAAAGTACATTTAACAAACTGCAGTCAGCAGAAATGATTATTATTATGTTATCAGCAATAATCATCAAGGATTCTGGCACTTCACAGGTTTTTAAATGAAAATGGACTGAATATATTTAGATTTCTAATGTGTCCATTGTGATGCAATTTGCTTTTGTTACGTACCTTCTTGGCCCAGAAGCTGAGCTCTTTGCTGACCAGCTGTAGCAGCTCTGAGTGACAGAACGGCAGGAAGTATACAATTTCATTGATCCGACCAAGAAACTCGTCCCTCCGGAAATGAGCCTGGGGAGGAACCAAAGAATTAACAACGGCAACCGAAGCCTCTCAGGCCAATTAGAGTTTACTGCTGGAGAAAAGTAAACCGTTAAACTGCAGGACTCGTCTGTAATGACACCAAAACAAAGTGGGTTGTTTGTTTGCGTTACCTTCAGGATCGGTCGAATCACAGATTCTTTAAACTGTCGGGAGATTGTGACGTCACCACTTTTCTGTACGTCCTCTGGGGAAAAGAACAACGTCAACATTAATTTCACTTCTGATTCACCTGACCTTTGGTTACTCTACACGTCTTTACGTTGTACCACCAAATCACCAGATTTCTTTCTGATCATTTTGTGTTTGCAATGGCTAATGTTAGCAAGATACTGTCTATAAATTTAGACAATCTGACAAAACTATTTGGCCATACTCCACATCACATCATCATACCCATTTTAAACAAAGCAACTGATGACAAATACAAAGTAATATGTCAGAATGGGTTCCCAGTGTCTAATACATAAAGTCATTTTGCAGCTGTAGTGTATGATGTACATAAATGTCTGAGAGCATGAAGCTTTTTAGACATTAGAAGTACACGTTGTATATGGTTCTTTTACTCTCACCAAGGTTATCCGCCAGCTTCCTGCGGCTGACCTGCTCAGCTTCCTGTCGAAGCTGCAGTGCATGCTGGGCAATGTCATCACTTGCAACATTAGACGTCATGATGAACATGGCATCTTTACATTCGATGGTCTTCCCCTTACCGTCTGTGAGGCGACCCTGAGAGAGAGAGAGAGAGAGAGAGAGATCCATTTACTGAAGTTACAGATGTTTGCAGATGTTTTATCAACAGAAACAGGATGAATGTAACTTCACAAAGGTTTGATATGTGTGTTTGTGTTTGTATACACACCTCATCAAAGAGCTGCAGCATGATGGTGAGAACATCAGGGTGGGCTTTGTCTACTTCATCAAACAGGACAACGGCGTTGGGACACGCCTTCAACAGCTTGGTCAGCTGACCTCCTTCCTCATGTCCCACGTATCCCGGCGGGGAGCCAATGAACTTCGCCACCTGAGAGAGGGTACACAATGGGTTCAAATATTATAAAGTATTTGCCAGGATCACACTTAGAACTATTATTATTATTATAACCTATACTTCATTATGTTGCTGCAAACTGTGCAGAATGTCGTAAAATAACGCAACTCTGATTCACTGATTAAATGTATTCATCACTAAAGCTTCACGAAGGAGAACAGAACAGGGCAAAAAACAACATTAATTCTGGTTTATGCATCCATTATGAGTACATAAACAGAATTAATCCAATGCGTCATTGCAGCAGAGTGATGCAACTGTAACGGATACTCTGAACCTCCGTTTGAGCACCAAACATTTAACAGAGTTTGTTGGATTCAGGCATCAGAAACAACGTGGATTCACACTGATGTATCTGGAACGTATTAAAAAGTGTCTTACCTCGTGTTTCTCCTGGAACTCGGACATGTCCATACGGATGAAACCCTGCAATCACACGACGGATTAACCTCCATTGCTACTGTATCGCTGTGCTACTAATAGTTACCATGGAAACAAACACAAATTGAATTCTCTGTCATTTCCTCAAATGTGTTTTATATTTATGAGAAGATCTGTTCTACACCCATTGACTTAATGGTTAAACACTGGTGTGTGTGTGTGTGTGTGAGAGAGACGCTACATTACATACCTTTTTGATGTCCTTGTGCATGTAACGAGCCACCTGTTTGGCCAACTCTGTCTTCCCTGTGACAACCAGTCAGAGTAAACAGAGACATCATTTAATTATTTTGGTTTTAATATAAAAAAAACAACCCCCTGCTCTTTTTTTTTTTTTTGTAATACATAAGTATGCAGAGATTTCAGGAAGTGAGGAAAACAAACACACTCATTTCAGACAGAAAGACAATCTCTCTCCTTCTCTAAGTGCTGGTCTGAATCTCAGTGCCTCCCCCTCTGCAAAGCTTTCAATCATCTCCTGCTCTCCAGAAGCACACATTATGTTTGTCGGTAAAATATTCTGCATATAAATGCTCATATATGATATTGATGTCTTGTGTTTGGTATGCATATGGGTATGGTGTGTGTGTGTGTGTGTGTGTGTGTGAGAGAGAGAGGCTGTGTCTTGTTGCTGTGTTTAATATTGATGTCTCGTGGCCACTGTTTGTCGCTGAAGGCAACAGAGAATATGAACACCGTCTCTCCTTCATCTATCTCTCTGGCCTGTCATTTCACCATCTCCCTCTTTTTTAGCCATCTATCTGGCCCTTAATATCCCTCCGTCTCTTTTTTTCTCTCTCACACACATACACACTCTTCTTCATCATAATGCTGCTGTTTGAGAACATTTGAGCTTTTTTGTTTTTTAAATGTCCTTTAATATTGAATATCTGCTGATACAGTTTATCTAAAACTCCACAGTACACCCTTAGCCCAAAGAAGGCCAGTGTTTTTTTTTTTAAAGGTTATTTTTCTCTGACATGTTGTTGTCCTACGGTGGGCGATATGCATGGATAAAGGAGTGTCAGTGTGGATCTGTTGTAGCACAAATTTCCAGGCAGAATTTAGACAATCTCAATTCATCCCCAGTGGATTTCATTTTGTTGTTTTGTTAGTGTTGCTCTGAGATTTGTTCCCTCTCAATGCTGTGTGTCAGAAAGACATTACAGTGTTATAAAGTGCCATCAGCTGTTTCTTCCAGATCATACACAAACCCCAATTCTAAACCTGTATCCACAAGGATGTGCTTTTATAAGCGTGTTTGTGCTTTTTTTTTTTTTTTTTTTTACTTACTTATATTTTGTGTAGTACTGTGTAATAATATAAACTTTAGTACCAGTTCTGCTGAGTAAACACTAACACTAGCTCCTCTCCAGACCTCAAATTTTGTCAGTGATTCAAAATTGTTTGTCGTTTGTGAGTCAATCAGGGTCTTTATGGGCGGGACTACATGTGGTGTCACTGCTGAGCTGTTCCAGAGTCAGACAGGTTGTGATATCTGAAATGTCTGCAGTCACTGCTGTTAATAACTGCATGTAACCACAGAATAAAACCAACACACTAATGATCTCCTCCTTTTCTAAACACTCCTGTCCCAACCCAACTATTTTTACTCACATAAAATGGCTGTTCGCTATGACAATAACACTAGAAACTCTGGTTGGGAACACGGCAAACATTAGCTAATAGTCACTTCATCATCAAATACAACCCCTCTTTTTATCTTTGAATTACATTCAATCAATTCAATAAGCAGATGTGAGAAAGTCAAAAATGCTGCTTTAAATTATTCTTTTAAATTGTGCTCTAGTAAATTATGACACCTCAGAGACAAACTCATTCACTGAATACTTTGGAGTTTCTCCAATTTGTGTTTTACAGTCTTTTGTAGTCTTGTGTATTCTGCGTCTTTTGAAATCAGTAGACTGGCAGGAGGAAAATACACAAACTTCAGGAGCTGAAGTGCTCTGTTTGTTTTGGCAGCTACTTTTAGGAAACCGAAGAGGAGTTTTTTTGTGTGTTGGGTGTAAAAGGTGACATTTACCGATTCCTGATGAGCCGAGGAAGAGGAATACGAGGGGATGCTCTTCATCGTACCAACCATTCTCCTTCCTCCTGATGGCTACAGGGTGCAGAGAGAGGGAGAAAGGAAAGGGAGGACTATTATTTCACTCATTTACATTTGTTGACTTTGCTTTTTGCATTTAGTATTTTAAGTTTCACCCAACTGAACCCAGTTGACCTGAGGGCAGCGGGCATCCCAGAAACTATGATAAAAGAGTGAGGGAGCAGGGATGAGAAAAGGGTCAGAGACATTTGGTGGAGAGAAAAAAAGAGAAAGAAGAGAGAAAACAGAGCTAGAGAGCAAGATGAGAGACCTCCAGAAAGCTACCCACGATGCTTCTCTTCCCCCCTCAGTCAGTGGGGCCATTAGCCAGCAGTAATTGTGTTAGCCTCCCTGGCGCGGCCATGGCGAAATCAGTTTAGCATGGATCGCAGCCTCACACACACACACACACACACAGACAGACACACAGGCTTGCTTAAAGAGGAGTGCCTACCCAACCCTGCCATCACCCCAGCAACCACACTCACACACATACACAAAGACAAGATGATGAGGTGGGTCGGAGGGGAGTAAAGAGTGTATTTGGCCGTGGTTTGGCCACTCGACGAAGAAGCAGACACTAGCACAAACTCATCCAAATCGGAAGCTGTTGAGAGGCCGGGGCCAAAACCAGAGCCATGTATGAGCAGGGTTTTAGCCAGCAGGATCAAAATAACTCAGTGGTGCAGTGCTTTATTGGTTAGCACTGCTGCCTCGAGCACAAAGACCCTGGGTTCGAATCCACTGGCAGCTCGGGTCCTCTCTGTGTTATCTCTGGACTGTGCCAGCTGTTTTCTGTTTTCCTCCAAAGACATACATTTTAGATTAATTGGAAACTCTAAATTGCTCATAGGTATGGATGTGATTGTGTCAGTGTTCGCCTTGAGATAGACTGGCAACACAGTGTACCCCACCATTAAGGGGATGGGAGGCTCCAAAACGATAAACGGGTACAGAAAATGGATTTAAATCTTGATAAAGAGAACACAAACATAACCACAGCTCCCGTTACAAGCTGTGCAATACCTCCCAGTACAACAGACATGCTGCTGCAGAGCTGGTATACCAGTGATAGTAACATTTCTATACAACTTATCCCGTATCTTCTTCTAACTTCTAGGTAGTAAATGACTTACCCTGTTGCTTTTTCTCCACTTTGCACCAAAGTCATAATCTTAATGTCTTTACAAAGAAACCTGTATCAGCTCCACTGTGAACTTTTGCTTTTTAGAGATTTTAAATATTTGAAACACAAACTATTCAAGAGAATTATTCTGTTTGTACAAACAGTACCCATCCATCAAATATTCATTGTCATGAAAAAGAAATACTAGGAGCTATTAGCTATTACAAGTACAACCAAATGATTAGTAGATTATTATGAATTTAGTATGGTTATTTTATTAATACAAGTGTAAAATGTTTAATTAAAATTTTTAGGGTTGGCATGTAAATACTGCCACCTCAAGGCAACTTTTCTTAGCCTGAGACACAAGACATGCAACCAGCCCCTGCTCTCTCACACACTAGGCCTTTCTTTGGCTTCTTTACCTCTGGATCGTATATATTTAACCAGATAAAACACGGGTCATACACGTCTGTCCATTTGAATCTGACAAGTGAGAAGACAACCCCCAAAACACTGGTAAAGGTTTAGCAGTCTGGTGCCTTTATGCCACATTAGTTCTTCACTTTCTGACCAGTTCTCATACGCTTGCCATGTATTCGCCTTTCTCAGGCGTTCTCAGCACATGTCTTATAGGTAGCAAAACAGCTTAAACAATGCGTCTCGTAAGTGTACATTTCCTGGCAAGTTATTACGTGCAGCCAGAACGAGATAAGTTACAGGAGAAATCCGAGGAACCAAAATTTAAATCCAACAGAATCTACAATCAAAGCATCTTTTACCCTTTCCTGCTCACTCATTTAAATCTGCTGTGGCTAAGAGGCTCTGTGTGTGATGCAGCGAAGCTAAAATACTTCACGACAGACATGAGATCTGAGTGCTAAACTAGCTACTAATAGCTGATAATCATAAAGAACAGATGCTTGGCAGGAGAGGAGAAAGAGAGGGAGAATGAGGGAGGCAGAGAGATGGCGAGATGACATGGTACAGTAGAGAGGAAAGCGGCAGGAGGAGCAAAGATAAGCAGAGAAAAGATGAGTAAGGATGTGGAGGGAGATAAAGAGGGGAAAGAGAGAAGAGTGATGGAGATAAGGAGACAGAGAACGAGGTAGAGAAACAAACGAGTGTGTCAGAGATGGACACGGAGATGAATAGTGACAAGAGGGGCTCCAAAGCTCCGTCTGCTTTATCAACGGCTGTGTGAATGACAGCGTAACCTTCTGTGTGTTTGTGTGTGTTTTAGCTGATTGAGACCGACTTTGACAGAAGGGCACATTGACATTTCTCAGAGGAGCCCGACAACAACAAGGAAAAGAAGGAGGCACAAAACAAATGAAAGCTGGCTCTCTCTCTCTCTCTCTCTCTCACACACATGCATACACACTAATCCAT